TAATCCTTGACTTAGTAAGCATGTTCTAAGCTACATTTTAGTTTAGGTAGTTGATCATGTGAACCTTTGATGGTTTATTCTTGCCTTTCTATTTAAATGAGCTTCTTAAGGATATTATAGCAACCTCGTATTGTTATGTATCATGACTATCATATATGTTGTTTTTCCCTTAAATTAATCTTAACCTAGCATGTGTATAGGGATGGAGGTGGATTCATTTCCCTAGCCTTCTTTACTTGTACTTCACTCCCTTGAATTCTTGCAATTTATTGTTTTATGCACTTTTAATTTCCTAGCTTAAGTGACATCCAACAAAACCTCTATAAACCCTTCATCATTCTAAGAAAGATTGTAGGCATTTAGGTTGTATTAGACTAGCGCAGTCCCTGTGGTTCGACTTACCCGACCAATAGTCCTATTTTACAATGATTCGTGCTATTGCGAAGGTTGATGTATAGTTGATCAACCGATCAACCACCCAGTGCGCATTATATGAAATAGAGGGAACTCTTATCCCCTGTACTAGAGCCATACCCTAGCCGTAACAATTTTCAATGTCCATACAAACTTTCCTAAAATCATCAAGTTGTGCAACAAGTATATCACATATACACAATGCACCAAAATCAATTACCACGCACAACCAAGTCGTGGAATACACACAAGCCATGCCCTAAGCATTCAAACTACAATGACATATTAAATGTCATATAAATAAAATGTGAATACTTACAAGTTAAATCATAACTTCAACTCATGGAATACTATCATATAATCATATAACAAATTTCAAACTACAAATTAAGTAAGAATACAACATCAATGCCTAATTACCTTAATGGAAGCATAAAAGGGGATTTAATTAACTTAAATAATTAAATTCTCAATATTACAAAGTAACTCCAAAAATTTTACAAATCATATATGTCAAAGGTAATATCAAGGCCTATTTTAATTTCATGATGTAAGTTAATTCTACACTAGGCATCACTAGGTGAATTAAATTTCATACAAGAAAATAATTAAATAAAGTATTCAAGGCTTATTCAAATATTCTCAATTCAAATGATGTTAATGAACATATCAAGGCCTAATTTAAAACCATATTATAAGTTAATTATACACTAGTTACAACTAGGTAAATTAACCTCAATGCCAAGAAAATAAATAAATAAAGTTCTCAAAACTTATCCAAATATTCTCAATATCAACAATATCAAGTCAAAAATCTAATTAATTGATTAGAACACTTAAAGTAAAATTAATTAATCTAATTAATTAATTTCCTCTAGATTTTAAAACAACTTCAAATGTGCTCAATTTAACATAGGTTAAAGAACATACCAAGGCCTATTTCAATATCACATTACAAGTTGATTCCATACAAGTTACAACCATGTGAATTAAATTTTCATTTAAGAAAATAATTAAATCAAAGTTTCAATACTTATTCAAATATTCTAAATTTAATATATGTTAATGAACATATCAAGTCCTAATTTAATAGCATGCCACAATTTAATTCCAAGTTATATACAACCATGAGAATTAAACTTATACATAGAAAATAATTAAATTAAATTCTAGAACTTGAACAAAGGCATGCTTACAAGTTGTATATACTTAGAAAACAATCAATACAACATAAATATAATCCTAAGACATCCCCTACCTCACTTTGAGATGAAATCTCAAATCCCTACCAAAACGGAACCGCTCCGAATCCTACGATACTTCGGGGTTTTGTCGGGGACAACGAGGGTAGCAACAATCACCTTTGAGGAACCACCAAAATCCAAACTTACCCTCAAAATCCAAACTAAAAAATGGTCGGAACCGGCTTCTAATAAGAGGGAAAGGACCGCCTCGCCAAGGCCTATGATAAATACTAAGGCACTATGACAAAATTCAAGAGGGAAGGAGGTCGATTTGAGAGAAGATGGGTGGCAGCTCCCTTTGGGCTGTAGAACTGATTTGGAACATGTGGAGAAGAGGAAAGTTATGTTTTAATTTTTCAAACCCCCTATTTACAGAAAATCCCAAAAAGTGCCCCGAACAAGCCCCACCAGGTCCGGAAAAGTGGAATCTACGCAGACGCTCTCAAACAGTAAAACACCATGAACAAAAAAGAACTAAAATGAAAAAAAAAATGAATAACGTCAGAAACGGCGTTGAAAACCGAGTTCTGTGTAGAAAGATATGCCCCGAACAAGTTCGGCAGCAACTAGGCCAGAAACCCGAAAATTGTAAAGAATGACTAGCAGACAATCCTAAGAGTACATGACTCGACGAAAAGTGAAAATGAATCTCGTATGAGGATTCAGACTTAAAACGAGGCATTTTGCAATAACTTTCATTAATTGCACAATGGCTCCTACAAAAAGGGATAACTGCCAAAATGACCCAGAATGAAAATATCTTTCAACCCCTAAAATAAATATCTTGAAAAGATATTTACGAAAAACACACAAGAAACATCTGGAATGAAAACTCGTGAAGTCAAAACTCAACTCTAAACATGAAAAGTGAGGTTATGCCAACAAAGTGACAAACGGGGAAAAGGACGAAAAATGAATAGTGTCGAAAAAATGAAATGTGGAAATGACTCGATCTTTTAAGGAAGTTGTCAATCCAAAGGAAAGAGTCTCGAAAACCATTTCCTAGCACTCGAAACGACACTAAGAAATGAGAAACCAAACTTAGAAAAGAAAAGTCAACGAAAAAAATTTATCCATAAAATTTGAGAAAAAAGAAAGGAAGAAAAATGACCAGGTCATTACAATACATGACTGCACACAAGGGCAAAACAGTTTAAACCTATTTAATTTAATTAAATTTTTTTTTTTAAACTCAATTGATCATAGAGAAATTTGATTGATCTTGCCATTATGAGATCGATCATACCAAACTCGAACGGTGAGGCTGAGAGCATGTTTTTGAGGTTCTAATTTTTTTTCTAAGTGTGGGAACCTTCGATCGATCCAAGAACCTGGCTCGATCGATAACACAAACAAAATTTTATTTATTTATTTATTTTTTCAATGAAAGCATGAATCATGGATGCAATTGCAAAAGATAAAAGAAAAACGAAGAAACAAAATACAAGTAAACTAACCTATGGAAATGAAAATGCATATGAAAAACTACAAAATCTAAGTCATAAAAGAGACACGAAGTGTCTCGTGGGTGCTAAGTTTAACGTCTCTAGCAAGATGGGATGCTACTTTGTAGTCCGGATCCAACAATTTTATTAACTCCTTCCTCACCACATCTTTAAGAGTATAGTGATGCTTGAGAGCCTTAAGTGGATGATTAGGAAAAAGATGTGGTTCATGAGGAGGGTGATGCATATCATTATTGTCCATCATTAGAATTAAAGAGCGATACAACAAAGCACATCAAAGCAATAACAACATTAACAACACATTTCATTCATATATATTGATCCCGTCCTTCTTAAATCAACAAAAGAAAAATAAATGCAAAAGTAAATGGACATAACAAGGACCAGTTATTGACCAAGAAAAAATAAAACTAAACTAAAAAGTGCACAACATTGAGTTCAAGATTTCAAGATAAGCTCAATCGATCAAGTAACGATCCCCAAGCTTGCCCCTCTCTCGATCAAGTACCAATAATTGCACAAAAACAAATAATAAGCAAAATATATACACAATTCCTAAGCTAACCATCAAATGATCACTAAATCAATTATACCATAGTCCCTGACAACAGTGCCAAAAATTGATTGGTTCTTTGCGAGAGGTTGCTTCACAAGGTCAATATGAATGTGGTTTTGGAAGCTTTGAAAGTCAATTTTACATTTATAAAACCACCACTACTATGTAGCATAGCGAGTAGGGATCGTCCACAGGGACCAACGACTTGAGTCAATTTAAAATTAGTGAACAATTGATTTAATAGAAAAGATAGTTTGTTTAAAATCCTAATTAAACTAAACAATATAACAAATGAAAATAAAAGAAAAGATAAATGCATAACGGAATAGAGATAGAGATACTTAGGTCATGGACTCCACCTTTGGTTTTGTAAATGTACCATCGCATTCAAATTGGGAAAAATACTTATGCAATAATAGAATTGTGGCTACAAGCACACAATCATGGTCAAGAGAATATGTAAATTTCATCAATAAGCATAACTCATCAAATCTCAGCATGATTGTCTACCTACCTACTTCTACAGTAGTGTTGTAACACAACCCATCAAATCTAAGTATGAACTATCAAACCAATTGCAACTATATCAATTAAGCACCATTATTTAACCATCACCCACACAACTACAAGAAGTGAGATGTTGAGATCAATCAACCACAATCAATGCATAAGACAATGTAAAGATCATATGAAGACCAGTGGAAGAATTAAACACATAACTAATCTTCGTACAACCAAAGATAATTCACAAGGTTAAATAATCTACACAAATAATCCCCAAATTTAATAATAAATAATACAATACTTGGCTTAGGGCTTAATCCAAGCCCTAAGAGAAGAAATCGGTACCCATAGAGATGATGAAGATGAACATTGAAACCCCAATATCCATGTCCAAGCACAACCCAAGATCGTCAATGGTGGAAAAGAGGGTTTCTAGAGAGAGAGAGTCTTCAAAGCATGGCCTCTCATCAACTCCAATCCGCATATCCTCCTCCAAAGGAGGCTTCATCCTCTACATATGCTCGGATTTTGGCTCTAGGATGGTCAAAACTCAGCCCAAGGATCTCCCTTTTCAAGCACAACCCGAGTTTTGTTCAATAGATCTGCTTTTGTGTAGCTTCTGCGGCAAACTCGATCGACCACGCTTAAGGCTCAATCAATCACGCTTAAGGCGTGATCGATCACAGATCTCAATTTTTCAGCTTCAGCCTCCTTTTGCTCCCACTCCTTGCCAAGACTTAGTTTGACTTTCTCAAGGGCTTTAAGACATTAGATTTAGCTCGTTTAAGCTTTATGAACTTGAAATCGGAAATAAAACAAATTAAGATTAAAACGGAAAAAAAAAAAGATAGATAAATGTTCTATTATACCCAAGATTATGGGTTAAAATATGCATATTTTAGCACTTATCAGTTACAGTTGATGAATTTACGGATGTATACGTAAAGGCTATAAATAAATTGCTATGGACTGATGCACCATTATATATACTTTCATGGAGTGATTGGATTTTTTTATTTTTATTATTATTATTATTATTATTATTTTTACCTTTTTTATCTTCTTCCCATCCTATAGAGATAGAGTATATCTTTGTGCAATTTAAAATAATAAATAGACACAATGATAATTTTAATACTGGTGCTTTATTTTATTTTTTTTATTTTTTATTTTAACCTTTTTTATCTTCTTCCCATCCTATAGAGATAGAGCATATCTTTGTGAAATTTAAAATAATAAATAGACACAATGATAATTTTAATACTGGTGCATTTTTATTTTTTTATTTTATTTTATTTTCTCTTAGCACGTGTATCGGCCCCACAACACACTCTATTCAAGTCAAGAGTGCGGTTTAAAAACGACATCTCAAAGACTTACCTTCCGAATCCCTGCCAACACCGCAGCATGTGCTTCTTTACCAATTGCTATGTTATGTTATTTATTTTGTTATTTGCATAATTTTTATTATCTTTTAGATTTTTTTTCCCCACACCCCCCTCAAAAAATTGTTTTTATTGTTTATTTATTCTTGTATATTTTTCCATATAAAAAAAATAAAAATAAAAAAAATCTTTAAATTTTTCTAGAACTGAATTTTTTTCTTCTTTAATTATGTATAATGGTGACCACCAACGCTTAACCTAGTGGTACATCATCGCTTCCTGTACAAAGTCCATAGGGGCAAAAGTGCATGTCCCCTTCTAAAGCATTAATTTTATTTTCTTAATATTTCATTCTAATAAGAGAGAGATACAGGAATTAAACAACTACAGACCTACATTTGATATATCGTTCCATATACCATGCTCCAGGCCTTCAAGATACATAGAGAGCATTTTAAGAAAGAAGAGTTAAAAAAGATTAACTGTGTTTGAGAACCAGGGACAAATTATAAATGAGCTTGTTAGAGCTCCAGAGTAGGACTGAAATTTCAAGATAATAATACTAAATAATCATGTCATTTGCACCCTCCTCATCTTCCATTTCCTTCCAATCTCTGTTCCACTTCTCTTAATAATGGATTACGCTCATGCTGTTTGGCAAGTGCCGTTGTTGCTCTCACTTGCCTCATTGGATATAACTAACTTTGGCATATGATCCATGTCTCAAAGAAAAGGCTCTTCTTTTTTGAAGAAAGAAAACCTGCAAAAAAATTTCAACAAAAATGAAATGTTATCCAGCCAATTTTGCAGTAGTTATAATGGTTCGGTGTCTAGTACCTGCATAAGTAACTTCTTCATGACGAAATCTGCACAACGAAATGAACTCACATCACTTGCTTCAAGTCACAGAACTGTAACAACGTCCTTGGATTTCCATTTCAAATCAACTTCTTCTAATCTCTTCGCAAACTCTACAAAAAATGCCAGGCAAATTCATGGTTTTATTTTTTATTTTTCCATAAATTTCCTCAAACACAGATTTAAGCTCTCTACTCATCATTCTTTCATCACCCTACATAGCTCCTCAACCGCAATCTTCTACACAGATGAAGTCTAAGTACTCTGGCTTACCTAGGCTCCTCCCAAGCAAGATTCCACCTGCCTTACTACTCAAAGCAGACCATTATTTGGTGAGCCAGCACTTACGGGGACTAAAATCCTCTCCCTACGAAAGAGTGTCATGTCCCGTCCAGTTAGTGATGTACTTTACAAAAATGTTGTGATGTTCAGCCCCACATCACAATATTTTCATAACGTACATCACAAACTGGAGGGGACATGACTAATATTTCGCATGCTCAGCACAACTAGCAACTGTACTCAGATTTTTTCTTCTTTTTTTTTGGCACCTACGAGTCCATCCAGCAATATTACATGCTCCAACAATTTCGACACTAACTAGTGTCATTCATAACCTGTCAGTTCTTCCGTTCTTCCACATGCTCCATCCTCAGTCCGCAAGTTTCAGCATCATCCCCAAAATAATAAATAATAATCCATGATAATATATAAATAAAAACCAAACAATAATTCATTAGAATATGCTCAAAAATATGTTGGTTTTCCGGATACCCTCTTTTAACAGTTTCATGATCTCACTAATCATTTTTCTTTTACGCGGGAGCTGTTAATTGTTGCATCAACAACTCCAATGTAAAACACTAACATACAATTTACTCTTACAAAAGAAAGTGTGTTTGCTATTTATACACTACCTGCTGTATACGAATCTTAAAAATAAGCCAGCTCGTCTCTCTGTACATCTGCACACAATCTTCAATGGGCAGCACCTACAAGTTCTCTATATACATATTGAAGTTGAAGCATCATTTTCTGCATGGCCCATCAATAGCATCTCTGCCTTTTCTGGACATGATTGCTTCTAACAACTCTTCTGATTGTGGCCCATTTCAGCACGCTGCACAGCTTTCCCTATCTAACTCGGGCCTGAGCACAGACTAACCGGGAACTACTGGTAGCACTTTGTTCAGCAGCAGCTAATTCCACAGTCAGGCTCCCCTGTTTAGGGTTATAATCAGTATTGCGAAACGAAAAATCAACGAAGGCATCAAAATCTTGAAGCATGGATTCTGGATCGAAGCTCAGAGAGCTGGGGACTTCTCCTGGATCACTTGTATGCAATAACTCCATATTGTCAATAGTGTAGCCACAAACATCCATATTACTCATATCCTCACTGTAATGGATGGAGGTACTTGGCTGCATATCATTGTTTACATTGATCGCGTGACCAGTCCCGGCGTTATGGCCACTAGGATTCTCCAGTCTGGGTGAGTTTGAGGGGTGAGTTTGAGAACAAGCATGCATGAGAGAAGGTATATCATCAAAAGCAACAACAGCCTCCCAGTGTTCAAATGCAGAAACAACCAACTTGTGAGCATCAGCCTGACATCAAAAACAATGATACCTGAGCTAAAAGTGATCCCCAAACAAAATAAAATAAATCAAAAAATAAAAGAATAAGAGAAGCATGCCTTTTCGGTTTTAGAAAGCGTATCAAAAGGAACAAACTGGCACTCCAAGAGTCGCCCCATCAATTGTCCCACAACACTAAAAACCACCCCATTTTTTTGTTGCGAACTGGAAGGGTACAAGTATACTTTTTTATCAAGTATACATGTCCGAGCATGATTTATCATGATCTGACTCTTGGATCCTGTACCAATGATCTGCCAACATCCAATGAGTACATAGTTTGTAAATCAATTCTTTTCACAAGGTCTAAAACTTTAATTACCTAAATACAAGCCTGAATTTTACCATCATTTAGGTTTCTTTACAGCAACTGATTTGTAACACTTGATTTCAATTAAGAAAATGTCATGTTACACTGCTATATATTAAGGAAAGTGATGGCTAAAATTACCTAGCAAGACCATGTCAATAGATGTTCAAAATAGATATTTATTTTTGGTGCCTCAAGTAGATGAAAAGAATAAGCCATACAGAAACATATTTGGGTGGGAAGAAAATTGTCCCTTTCGACCAATTCTTTTTTTGATAAGTCTTTCGACCAATTCTTTTTAAGCTAGAAAACAAGAAGGTGAATTTTCAATGTTCTCACTGAAGATGGAGTACACACAATTCATCACAATAGAGCAGGAATTTAATTAAGAAGCTTCCATTTAAATCACACAAAAAACAAGTTTATCAATAAATCAATTCCTTTATAAGAAAATTTGTTCATCAATGAATCAAGCAACATTTAATATATCTTAAGTAGTGCCTTGGACAATCTTCAATGAAAACAGAGTAAAAGTTAAATATATCACTACTAAATGCTGCAAAGGTTAATATAAGAGGTAAGATAAGTCAATTCTTACATCATGGAGTCTTTGAAGGTTTATAAACGACAGAGTCAGAAATTCCTTCACATTGGTAATGTTTTCCCTGCTTAACCTTTTATGGAAAGCGCCACCGTTGGCAATATTATCTAATCTCCACACTTCATCAGAAAGATGTGGAGGATAGTGCTTCTTGTACACTGCAAATGGAAAGCAGAAATTACAGTGAGCTTGTTTAAATCACTTAACTACCAAAAAGTTATTCCACCACCCTAGAATGAGCAACAATTTACCTCCTTTGTTTGAATTTCTTCTCATAGTTTCATGGGAATCCATTTATGCAAGAAATTCAGACTAAAGAAACTAGTGATGTGTATCACTAGAACATAATTTTTTTTTCTCATAGCCATAACTTCATTAGTGCATAGTAGTACATGTTACTTTATTCATTCAAATAAATATGTAAAAAATGTAAGCAGTCAAAATAAAACTAATTTGAATGAAGATTTGAACAGCTTGATTCTTGCCTTGATCAACTCACAATCACAGGACTTGTTGTGATGATTTAGTTCGGACAATTGTAGCATGATTCTTGCCAAGATTAACTTATAATCCCATGATTCTCTGCATGATTTAGTTAGGACAATTGTAATCTATTCTTACCATTTTTTTTTTTTTTGTGTGTGATTCTTTTCCCCGTACTCTGTAAAGTGATAAATACTCAGTTTTTACAATGAAAGTAGTCAGACAATTTCTACCCTAAAACCACCAATTTCTACAATATCACATCTGATATTCTGAAGCAGCAAGTACCAAAGAGCACATAAGAAGAATAACCAGCTGACACTACCGAGTTCAAAGTATTATGACATAAACCTGGAAAACAAAACCAAAAAAAAAAAAGGAATGATGTCATATAATAGACTGAAAGGAAAAATAATAATAATACAAGGACAAATCTATGAGCCCGTTATCCAAGGCTCTGATACGTCAGAGTGTAAACGGTGACTTTGACATAAGGGGAATAGGTCTAATGAATATTATTATGCTTTTAACTAATTTTTCAAATTTCTGTTGATCATTTTTGAAATTTAGTTAGTTTGTTGTGAAGATTGATATTTAAATTTTAGTTAATTTTCAATTTTCATCAATCATACTCATAAAGTAAAGAAGAATAGATCTATATACGAATTTTTATGTGGAAAACCAAAAAGGGAAAACCACAGGACATAGTCTAGTCAGGCACAATCTACTATACGAGAAAGAGATTACAGTTATTATTCCCCTCACCCTAGAACCCTACTTACCTCACTCCAAACTTTTCACCAAAAGTCTCCATGTTGTCCCCGCCCATTCATCAGCATACTTTGCTTCTCACGAATTTGTTTCTCCAATGATCGCTCACCTTTTCTTCTTTGACAATTGGATGCTTGAATTGGATCAGATAGACGAACACAACCACATATGATGGAATCTGTTAAACCCTTGTTGTGTATAGAAATGAACAATCAAGAAAAAACAATCACACAAGAAAAAACATGATTTATGTGGCTCGGCAAAATCTTTTTCCTGTGTCCATGGAACGCACCGAAAAATTTCACTATGAATAATGATGAGTGTTTACAACAGAGCTCTCTCTCTCTCTCTCTCACGCACACACTGGCTATTCTGCCTTACTAGGGTTAATACAAGACCTAATATTTATATGGAATCACTTTTCAGTTAAGAAAACTCCAATAAAGAGACAAATCCTGAGTTTCTTAATAACTGTCAATTGAAGTCTCTGTGATCTGCGATCGATCGATGAACTCCCAGGTTTCGATCGAAGCTTACATCAGTCTAGAACCCTACTTACCCTAGAACCCTACTTACCTCACTCCAAACTTTTCACCAAAAGTCTCCATGTTGTCCCTGCCCATTCATCAGCATACTTTGCTTCTCATGAATTTGTTTCTCCAATGATCGCTCACCTTTTCTTCTTTGACAATTGGATGCTTGAATTGGATCAGATAGATGAACACAACCACATATGATGGAATCTGTTAAACCCTTGTTGCGTATAGAAACGAACAATCAAGAAAAAACAATCACACAAGAAAACACATGATTTATGTGGCTCGGCAAAATCTTTTTCCTGTGTCCATGGAGTGCACCGAAAATTTTCACTATGAATAATGATGAGTGTTTACAACAGAGCTCTCTCTCTCTCTCTCTCTCACGCACACACTGGCTATTCTGCCTTACTAGGGTTAATACAAGACCTAATATTTATATGGAATCACTTTTCAGTTAAGAAAACTCCAATAAAGAGACAAATCCTGAGTTTCTTAATAACTGTCAATTGAAGTCTCTGTGATCTGCGATCGATCGATGAACTCCCAGGTTTCGATCAAAGCTTACATCAGTCTCTCTGATCAATATTTACTCAGCTGCGATCGATGGGATTTTGATTGTGGCCAACACTGCTTACTGTGATCAAAACTAATATAGCTGCAATCGACCCCACTTCGATTGTGACCAATACAAGCTGCTTCTAAAGAGAATAAAAAAAATTCATCCACGAACCGGCAACATAAACAGGGCTTGTGATTCAGGCTCCACAACCTCAACAACCCTCGATTGAACAAATTGAGAATTCTCCTCTCACAAAGATTTTCTCTCTAGATGATTAGACACATTCCACATACCGCTAGACTAATTATAAGGATACGTTTTAGTATCCTTATAAAATTGTGTATTGAGAGAATTACCACAAATATGTGTTCGTCAGGTTCGATCAATCGAGCCTCCAATCAAAGCCTACCGGACACTCTTTGATTGGACACTCTTTGATTAGTCAACACTTTGATCAAGGCTTACGGGATTTGAAAGAAAATATTAATCTTAAATTTGATTGATCAACCATTTGATCAATGATTACTAGAAGATGCTCAATCAATGGCTACTGTTCTCTAATTCAAAAACCGATTTCGAAAAATATCTAAAACTTCAATTTTGAAAAGCCATTTTTCTAAAACACTCATAAGACAATTTTATGAGCCCAAGCAAACCAGGTAAAATTAGGTCTTTCTAAGGTCATTTTACCAATGCCCTACATATGTGATTAAGGATGCGAATTTCACTCCTTTCCTCACAATTCTGTGTCTGCCTTATCTTCATAAATGTACTCACAAGACTCAAGACACTATGACACGTTACAACACAAGTTATGAGTAGGAATATGCCAACACATGACTCATATACCTAACATACAATGTTAAACCAAATGCTACAACAGTTGAAATTATTGGAGTTGATGAAAAAAATGAGTGAACAGTATGTGAAGCCCATGTCTTCATGTCCCATAAGCTCATACCAATTAAAAAATATTTAAATTTCCCTCATTACTCCAGAGTTCAGGGAACTAGTAGACTTCAACAACAGGTGACAATACAAGCTGCTGTGAGATGTGAAAACAACAGATCTATTAGGGCGGCACATTGTCTGTTTCAGTACAGAAAGAACCAAATCATTAAATGACTCACTATTCGCACTTACATTTATCACATTGTTTACAATAAGCTTAAGATAAATGCCTCCCAGCTGATTTTTCACCTAAAAAATAAAAGAAAAAAGCAAAAAAGCCTCCCAGCTATAGCCTTCTGTTTGATAGGAAATGAATTGATATGCATTCAACCTGAGAAGCATAGACAAGGAAACGACACGACATGGACACGACAAATCCTAAAAAATTAGGACACGGACACAGCAAGGACATGGCGTAAAACAAATATATATTTATATATATATATATATATGATGTTGTACTTTAAGAAATTAAGAGTAATATTAATTTTTATCAACCTAATAATGAAAAAATATATATGTTGTGCTTTGCTGGGAAAAAACGAGAGAATGATAGAAAGAGGGTTAAGAAAGAGGAGAAAACAAATAAACAAAGATGATTTGGGTTTTGTTAGAAAAAGAATTAGGGCTTAGTTAGTCAGAATCCATAGAAGCGAAAATTTTCATGGAAACAAGAGGTAAAAGGAAAAAGAGAGACAAAGAGAATTTTGTTGTAAAAGGAAAAAAAGAAGTATCTAGGGTTTGTGAAGAAGAAAAAGATGAAAGAAAAGAGGAGGACTAAGAAGAAGAGAGAAAAGAGGAGAAAGAGGAGAGAGAGACCATCCAACGGGAGCGAAGTCTGGTTGGTGGGAGAACAAGAGAGAGCCAAAGATGAATGTGCAAGAGTTGAACCTTTGAACAAAAATATAAGCATAAAGATCTGATTTTTTTAATATAAAGTTATTTTATAAAACAACTTTTAAGTAATTATGTAATGACCATCATAGTATTGAAAGCTATTAAACAACTGTGCATTGTTACACTTCAACCTAACTTTCTTAAAATCCCCAAGTGCCTTACATATATATAAATAAATAAATAACCTAAAAATGGAACACGCTTGTCGGACACATATCCATGGTGTGTCCAACACGTGTCCACAGCGTGTCCATGCCGTGTCCGAATATTGAAAAAATAAAATTCCGACATGGATTCTTTGCCCTTATAGGCGTTGATTTTTCCAGCCTTGTTTTTTTTTCTCGTTCCTCATGCTTTGACGTGTGGACTAGCCTTATTTTGGTACTATGACTGATTCTAGTAGCCAAAAGGACACTTTATCCTCATTCCAACATACTTTATCTTCGGCGCATCATACTCAGGCACAACGGGTTACTAGTGTGCTCTTGAATGGGTTCTTCAAGGTTGTTTTGTGACACTAAATCAGCCATTATACTTGGTTCTGATTCTGAGTTACATGAAAGGTCGAAACATATTGAGGTAGACATTCCCTTCATTCGAGAGAACGTTCGATCAGGTATCATTAATCCTATTTTTGTTTCATCTTCAAAACAGACTGCTGATGCGTTCACAAAGTATGTTGGGCCTTCTCTTCTTCAGTCTTCCATAGTCAAGCTGGGCTTGGTCAACATATTTGCTCCAGCTTGAGGGGGAGTGTTGGAAATCATATCTATAGATTGATTCGATGATTGTGGTAGATTTATTGGGTCTTCATTATAGGCTTATGTTTAGGCTTTTGTTTAGGGATTTGATTTTTATTCTCTTTCCATATTTGTAATTTTTCACTTGTATATAATGATAGTCAGGCTCTCAAATTGAGTACGCCAATTTTACCAAATCACTTTTTGAACAAAGCCAGGAAATTGACCAGATATTACTGGGGAAAATGACCAGATCTTGCCGGGAAAAATAAACTAGAACTCGCTGGGGATAATGACCTGAACTAAGCTGGAAAAAGGCCGGAACGCGGGGAAAAGACCGGAACTACACCAGGAAATGGACGGAACAACGCCGGGAAAATCAGGAACAACGCCAAGAAATGGCTAGAACAACGCCGGGAAATGACCGGAACTAAGCCGGGAAATGGGCCGGAACAACATCGAGGAATGTCAAGGTGCTAAACCATCCGAAAAATGGACCGGAACTATGCCGGAAAAACCAACCGGAACTCGCCGGGAACTGGCTGGAACTACACCGGGAAAGGAATGTGAAGACATGGAGAATATGCTTTATGATAATAATACAAATACTCCCCCTCAAATTCTAAATGAGATTACAAGAACATCTAGGCTTTGATACTATGTTAAATTTGGATACGGAAATAAGAAATGCAAATAGGAAAAGGGAAAAGAGAAAGATAGAGAATACAGGTATATAAATGGTTCATCACTAAGGCCTACATCCATGGACAAAGAGTCACTAAGGACTATATTTCTATTATTCAGATATGTTTTGCTTGAGTACAAAGAACCTATATATAGGCACGGTAAAGATAAGAATATATAGGCATGGTAAAGATAAGAAATATGGAAGGTGTACAATAGTCAAAGGAGGCACCGTGATTGGTGGAGGATTTTGCTCCACCGTTATATAGAAATATTTATAGTTGGAAGGAAATTGACCGGGTCACCATGATTGGTGGAGGATTTTGCTCCACAATTATATAGAAATATTTATATATTTCAACAAATAATGATCACAAGATCTTTCATTATTTGCAAGAACACATGAAAGGGCCTTCAACTCTCTTTTCTTGCCTTAATGTTTCTATGTCCAATGGGGAGACTAACTAATTGAGCACAAGTGCGGACCATTTTTTTATGACTATAAATGAAAATCCTATTCTCTAACATAATTACTACACATGGTCCACGTATATCACGATTCAAGATTCAACACAAGTCCGATGTAAATTGCACTCCAATGTAAATAACCAGTACAGTCTCTTTCACAAAGTGTCAGAGTCAATTCCAATATAATGATTAATGGTAACCCACAAACCAAAAATTCTTACAGAATAGGACATTAGACAAAAAGAAAAGCAAACCTTCTCTTATAATTCAAAAACCTAAAGCACATAGGAAATTTGTTCCTTTAACACCAAAATTATTATTTTTCTTAAACTGATGAAACTAATACAGAAGAAAATTATTCACTGCTTTCAAAACCTTAAAGCTTGACATAAATTGATAAGTAAATTGAAGTGGCTAATATTCACACTGACATCATTTCTAACATATCATGCTATGCACATAACTAGAACTCATAACTAGTTTTAATAACACACCGCAGTTAAGATTTTGGAATTAAATCCGTGTCAAAAAAATTTGCACCACCACTGAACCCACTGAAATAATAGCAAGTAATTAGATTAGAAGACTCACGTGAGTTGCGGCAATCCTCAAGTGTGAAGGGTTCTGATATCGCTTCTCTTACTCTAGTGCAACTGAAACTATCCATCACTCTTGCCCCAAGCCTCAATATAGTCTTCTTCATCCAATTTGAATTATGTGTAAAATGAATAATGCCTAAAGTACCAAGGCCTTCCTCCAAGTTCAAATATGCATCTCCAGTAAGAATGGATTTTTTACCTTCTCTTTCTCTAACAACCTTTTGGTTAAACTCTTCAGTTGTCCAATCATGTCCTTCAACATCATTAAAATCTCCTTTAAGAGCAACTATTTCCACCTTTGCAGAGGATTCAGGACCCCATTTAACAGTTTCCTCAGTAGAACCATCAATTAAAGCTACTTTGATGGGGGTACTCTCTTCTCCTTCAATTTGGTCTCCAGTCAGTATTTTAAGAGAGGGTTGGATTAAGAAACGTAGTTGTAAGATTCTTGACTCAGACGGATGTGTCTCACTCCTGGAGTTCCTGAATGTCAAATGCATGGATATGTCAGCTATGCATCAATCATTAAGAATGGTGTTGATTGATTCAATTACCAGGGAAGCGGGTGGCTAACCTATAAACTACAACCAAAAAAAAGAAAAGAAAGAAGGATAACTTGACCACCTTCTCACTAGGGAAGATAGAGAGAGAGAGAGAGAGAGAGAGAGAGAATCATATTGATGATACTTGGAACAATACTCACCGGTCCATTCTAGACAAAATAGTTTCTAGTGTTGAGTCAATTTCCTCTTTCACCTGGAAACACACATAGCATCAATGAGACATTGCTAACTATTTATACAACCAATTGAGACATACAATCCACAGAACCTTAAAATGTAACATACTGTTGCTCATTGCCTCAATTCATAAACAGAGAGCCTGAAATTACAGAGGCAGAATTATACCATTTGACAAGAATCCTTACGTAGACATAATTACAAGAACCAAGAAGACCAGAAACCCAGTTTGGCAGCATCCTTGTATAATTCATTGAATTTGCTGAAAGATAATTTTAAGACCACAAACTGTTGCTTATATATGATGTGGAGAACATGACGTGACGCAGTTATCCCGAAGACAACTAAGATGAAGCGCAACAATGATTATGTGTAAGAAAAAGTTAAAAAAAAAAAAAAAAAGAATCTTGAGAATATATGTTTTGAGTAAAAACACAAAATACACATACACTAATAAAAAATATATTTATATCTATAAAAGAACGAAAAAATGGTGAATCCTATGCAACTTTGAGGTATACACAGTAAGACAAAAGCCACATCTGTTTTAGTTGGAAAAAAAGAATAAAGAAAGAAGACTTACAAAAAAAAAAAAAAAAAAAAAAAAAAAAACCTACATTTCAAGAGGCCCACAAAAATAAGCATAAGAGAACTCCAAATGCCTAACAATATGTATGATAACAAGGGCTCAAAACAAAAAACGAAACAAATTGTATGGCACATTATTTTTCATTTGATAAATTGTGCAGTTAGACATGAAATCGTGAGAAACATTGAACAATAGTCATCACTGACAGTCCACCACTCCTACCTCTTTTCGTGCAGGTGCAGAATTTGCTAAATCATACCAGCTCATGAATTTTTTGTTAAAAACCCATTCAGAAATTCACTTTAAGTCCTTCGCATCGAAACACAATCAACTACATATTCCAACTGGATGACTTAATCATTTAATCCTCGTGACTCTTATGACCACTCTTGAAGACTTAAATAGTTGACTAAAAGGTAATTCTTCACATTGTTAGTAACAACCAGTTACACAGAGAGAGAGCTATTGTAAGAAAGAATTACATGAACTGAAAATGCCTACCATTTTTTGGGGTTTGATGGATTTATAAAGTTAATGTCAAACACCATGTATGACATAATAAAATCATTTCAAAAAACACAAGCTAAGTTTTTGAATTCTCAACCAAATACTTCAAAAAATTAAATGGATACAAGCACATTGGTATACAGCTTGGATTTTAAGGGTGAAGGAGAACATGACCCCAACTATACCAGATCCACCTAAAAGATCGCTGTAGCATAAAGTGGCTTAAAAGTTGAAGCACTACAGAGATAAGAGAATCATCCATATGAATAAACTATAGTTGATAAATTTAGTCAAAACTTTTATTTTCTTGTTGTTGGTAATAGTCATCTTGTTACTAATATTCTTACAAGAATTCAATTGAAGGGACTAAAGAAACTTGAAAACAGCAAAAGAAGTTAACCATCATTTGCTTTTCCCTGATATGTCAAAATTTTTATTTGAGATGGAACACAAAACAGATTCCCTTATTTTTGTAACAAACCAAAGTTTATTCACCATATAGATTTTTGACAAAGATTGATTTGAAAAATCTGCGGCAAAACATTCCACCTTAATGAAAAATTCAAAATGCATATTAAAAAATAAAAAATAAAAAATTGACAACTGCAATATTTAGATTCTGTTTGTTTGTATTATTACTTTATTAGTATTACAAACAAACATGTATGCATTTGTATGAGTCTATAGAAGGATATATATATATATATATGGATTTAAGTTTACTGAAATCATTATAACATTTCAAAAAATAAAAAGAAATCATTATACCATACATACTTACGGACGCACACACCTGCATATGTACATAAATGAGCAGTTCTACACGCACTGGTCGAATGGTGTAAGAAGAATTCTTTCTAGTACTAGTATCTACATATATTCAAACATTCAAATATATAAACATAAAAGTATATGTTTGTTATGTGTATTGAATATATGATAATCGACGAAATGAACTCACAACTGGACGGATCAAAGGCCCGAAAATTGGCTTTATAACTTGGTGGAACGTTTGGATCACAAATACCTCCAGTTGCTTCCTAGAAAACCAAGAACAAAACACAAGAATTAGAAAGGAAAAAAAACCTAATGCTATCAAAAAATGACAAGGTCAAAGCACTTTGAACACAAAATAATCACCAAATAAGCAAAACCCAGTTCAGATTTCGTCTGATTTTGCAATTTTTGCCCAAGATTGTGTTATAATCTCAACAAAGAGAAAAGGGAAGAAGGAAACACAGAGAAACTCACTTTAACAAAGGAGAAACTAGCGTTGGTTCATCTTCCGAGCTGTTGATTAGTTTAGATCCACTGTTGCTGTCATCTCCAAACTGTTGATTCTCCATGATTTTCGACCTGAATGTTGGTGGGAGACAAAGAGATTGTATGCAATTATGATCAATTCTGAGCAAACTTTTGGACCTGTTGGTTAATTTTTTTAATTTTTATTTATTTATTTTTGGAGCGAAGAGCAGCCCTTATTGACAATATTAACGGATAGTAGGGCGGGGATAAAGCGCGTAAACACAGTGACACTGCTCGACCACACACCACCACATTCTCTGTGTTGGCGTAACATTTTTTTTTTTTTTTTAAATTGTTGGCTAAAAATTTCATCAAGTTTGAATACCAAATTTACGAATTATCTTCTTAAATTTTCAATATTATCCTATTTGTGATAACTTGTCACTAATATAATTCGCGCGATTAGATTGTTTTCATAACGTGGATATAAAATTTTAGTCTAATTTTGCCTTTCTTTCCTATGAGATTGTTGAATTTATTTTTTGGCACCAAGTCTGTTGAATCCATAACCTCAAAGAGACAAGTTTCAAGGGTGATACTTGATTGGTACTCATTTTGTTTTTAGTGTTTCTGTGTTTGTTGAATATTGTAGTGGTGAACAATAAATAAATAAATAACACGTTTGGTAACAAATATTTTATTTTGCACAGTAAAATATTTCGTAAATAGTGACAAAAAATCAAAACACTAAAGGTGCGTTTAGTAATATTTTCGTTTTCTGTTTTTACCGTCTTAAGAAAGCAAAAACATGATTTTGCTTTATTGAGTGAAAATAGAAAACAGAAATAATGTTTATTAACATTTATTGTTGCCACAAATTTGAAAACATAAAACAATAACTATGTTCAGTAATACAACATATTTGTTACAAAATGTACATAATATTATTTAAATTTTTTATTTTTTTTCATGGCAAGAATTTTTTGTAGATGACTTGAACACAAACTCTTAAACACAGGGAGCAACCCAACCACTCATGCACGACACGAATTGCTTCCATTAATATCAAAAAACCATAAATCTAGAAAATCTAATTTAAAATTATAAATCTTAAAAATACTCAATACATCACAAATACAAAATTAAAAATATTAAGACAAAAACATTTCCACCAATTATATATATAAATACATGTATATGCATGATGTATATATTTATTATGTGATATATAATATATTTAGCAAATGATAATTTATTATGAATAAAAAATATTAAATAATATATCTTATATGTAATAAAATATATATTGTGTTATAATATTGTAAATTAGCTATAATTTAATATTTACATCTAATATAATATAGATATGATATATAATAATATAAAATATCTACTGCTTAACAATTTAATAATATTATATCCTATATCAAAAATTATTTTGTCACAAAAATAATTTACATTATTATTTAATATATTATATATTAAAAAATATTTTTATCAAATAAAAAATAATATACAATATTTAATATATTCTATACTAAAAATATATATTTTTATTAACATTTAATATGCAACTTAGTATATAACACAAATAATATGAATTTTATTTGAAATGAATAGTGCTTATGCGGTGACATTAGTGAAAATATTTCTGCGCTACAATGCCGAAAACAGATTCTTCACAAAAATTGAAAACGTTTTCTGTTATAGAAAAACAAAAACATTTTATTGAACGCGATTTTTGTTTTCGTTTTACCTTTTTAGAGGTTGACAACAGAAAATAAGAAACGTTTCTCGTTACTAAACGTAGCCTAAATTAAGGTCTTTTTTACATATTTCAGCGTTGTAGTAATGAAGAGTAAAAAATAATTTAAAAAACTCATAAATGACATTTTTAAAATAACCATTATATTTTTCAAACTTGCAACACTTTTTTGCCAAATATGTTTCATATTTTTGCTTTCCAAAATCTTGCAACAAATGGAAGTACTAAACATGCTTTCAATTACACCAAAACATTTATTTTGTTTTGTGTTAAAACAAAAATATAAAATAAAAAGCTTACCAAACATATCCTATATTTCTTTATAAGTAATGATTGAGGACTAATAATGAAAATGTTTGTCAGCTTCTCAAACCTAAATCCTAAATGACACCTAAAAAGGTTCAATTAATTATAAAAGTACTCTCAGCATCATAATTATAGGTAAAATGTTAATTATTATGATAGCACAAAAGGAATAGATGTTAAAGTCATAATGGGAATACAATATGCATGCATTAACGTTGTGTAGGTACTTTTTAGTGTTCTTTTTTTCTTTTTGTGGGAGTGAGACTGAGAGTGAGTGCTTTGATCACATTTCTAAAAGGAGACATTTAACTGTTCATGATTTCGACCTCACTCAGGGCAGGTATAATGAATTCACTGAGTGGAAGCCTCAACGCTCCAGCCTTCAATTTTGGAAAGCAAAGTTTTGATGACTATTATGGTAAGAAATTTAATTTGAAAAGCCTGTCATGCTCCACAATCATGGTCATGCTAATTATATAACATGGGTTAAATTCATAAAACACTCTATAGTATATTTAGGGTGTGTTTCACACTTACTTACCTAGTAAATATATTTATAGTACCTAGCGCTCCTTATGGCGAAAAATATTCTTAAAGTACCAATTTGTGCAAATAAGTCATATCTAACACATTAAAATAGATTTTTTCCTAAATTTTCCTTACTAAAATGTTTTAAACATAATTTAAAAATAAATATTTTTTGTAAAATGACAGAAAATGACACAAGTTAAAAATGACACAAGTTAAAGTATTATTTTATAAAATAATCTTTACCAAAGATCGTAACCACTACCCCTATCACGGGTGGTTATGAATTAATAATAAACTTGTTCTCTCATTTAGTTTGTGTAGCAGTGGTTCAGACCAGGGATTACAGGGAAAATAAGTAGTACTAATAAGTAATTGCATAATATTATAAGTCAGGTGTACTTTAGGTTTCAAATTTAGATTGTCATAATTTTCATAATTATCATTGGTATCAGATTTGTTATTAATGAAGCGAAATTCAATACGACCCGGAAAGACACTGGTGTGGTGTCTGTCAGGAATTCTCCGACGATCAAGTCAGTCCGAAGCTATGAAGTAATGACAATAATTTTAGGTATTAATTGTATCTACCTCATTTGGTTAGTTCTTTACCCTATTTATGATTGTCGCGTAAGTTTAGTTGAGATTGCCTCCTCGTAAATCGCATAGTCTGGGTTGATCTTTTTAGCTGATCTTCCTCATTATCCTCAACCGACCTAAATTGTTATCTTATCGTCATCTCTATTCCCTTAAATCAGGAATTGAAATAGCCTATGTAGCTACCTTGCTTGGTCGTCATTCTTGGTCAACTCTGGGTAGATTATATCTCATCAGTTATAATGCATATGGTTAAGGGGGAGTTAGCTTTACATTTGCATATTCTGAAATCGATAGAGGTAGAAATCTCCAAAGTTGCTTTTGAAAAATTTGCATATTGATATGGAGAGTTCTACATAGTGATGATCATATATCCCTTATCTTGTGAAACATATCAGCAGATTGTCATCATAAGGGGGTGGAGGGAAGGCCAAGTTAAACTTGGTGATTTTGATGATAACAACCTATTATTATAGTAATTTAATAGTTGAGCGGTGACTTTTAGGATATTCTATGTAACTCAGTTACAATTACAAAAGTAGATCCATTGAATTAAATGTTCAAGCTCAAATATGGATTAAGCTCATAGCAATGGAATTTAAAGTTAAAGATCAAATTCAAAATCAAAAGCCATGGACTTCAAAGGGACTTGCATGAACATTCAAATTCAAGAACACAAGTGATCATGGAACTAAAGCTCAAAAATCAAAGATCAATGGCAAAGTTGAAGTGAATCCAAGCCTTAAATGATCGATTTTAAAAGCTCAAGATTGAAGATCAAGAATTGGGTAGGATAGTCTTGAGCGAGTGTTAGAATTTAATATAAAGTTATTTTTAAGGGTAAACTATCAATACATGAACTTAATGGGTGTATACTACATGTTCATGAGGTCAAAGTCATGAAGTTTCAATAATTAAATGGACCACTAAAATATTTCTCTAAAATGAACTCTACTTTGTGCTTTATACCATACAACAAACTATATTATTAATAGTGACCCAAAATAATACTTTTATACTATATTAATCTTAGAGTTTGAAACAAACTTACGAAAAGATCTTTGAACAAATATTTTTAATTTCACAGTAAATTAAAATCTCACAGTAGATTAATATGGACTTATGGACTTCTTTAGACAAAAGATCTTATATATAAATTAAATTAAATTTAACGAAGCAGCATAGGCTCTGATACCAAAATTAAATTCAATCGAACCGGATACAAGCATGCAAATATCATAGAGGTAAAATTAACAATTAAATCATAGAAATGACTGCCGAACCTGATATCGCTCTGATAACGTCCTGTAAAACGCCTGAACACTGGCAAGAATGGGCCAACAAGCCAACAGTTCTAGTCAACTCACAGAAAAAATTGCTAAATTAAAACTAAGGTTGTTTGTACTGGTTGGATTCAAAAAAATTTTAGGAATCTACACTATCTGGCTAAATAAAATCTATATATTTGATCTTTTTGTTGATAGAAGTCCTTTACCCGAAAGTACTAAAAAAGTACTGAAAATACTAAAGGGGATAAGAAAATTTTGAATAAGAGCAAACTAGATGATTTATTTCATGGAATATATGTACATGGATACACACTGTTTATACATGGATATACTCTCGCATAATATTTTACAAAAAGAAACACACTGAAATAACACTGAGGGCCTCCATTTATAGAGTAATCTGAGAGATGGATCAACGTCTGAGATTGCAAATGCAGCATAGATGGTTGAGATGTAAGATGTTTTGGAGATAAGGTTCAATGAATTATTGCAAGACTATTGATGCCTACTTCTGGAAAATCTTATCAAATTTTACTGTTGAGAATCTGCTTTCGGGGGATCTGCTTTTATCTGTACACTGTTACTTATCTGCTTTTTCCTAGGATGCTCTTTAAATTATTAGACCTCTAGCATATTGGACAAATTTATATCTGTAGTGCTATTTGTTGGGCTGTCATCTCTTTCATACATGCAGGCCACGTATGCATTAGTGCTGTCTGGTGAGCTGGTTTCTTTATTTCTGTAAGCTTTTTTGTACTGCTCAATCAACACATTTTCTTCATTTATTATTTCTTCAATTTCTGGAGATATCTCAATCTCTGGAGGAGATCGGATGACATGGGGAATTATGGCTTTAATGAAAATTTTCATATTTACATTATGGTCGAAAAGTCTGAAACTAGGATTATAACTTGGGTTAAGCTGTCGATAGGCTTTATAGTACATCAAATGGTCAAATGTGGCTAGTTCGATATTATTACGAAAGTTGTTTGCAAAATCGATATGTCTTGTTAGGGTCTGGACTTCTATATGATCGGAATGAATG